CGACACACACACACACACACACACACACACACACACACACACACAGAGTCTCACACACACATCAGAGAGTGTGCGACAGACACAAGAGCATCTCTAAACCTCTTACCGTCACACTCCACACTAATACAGTCCACCAGCTTTCCTGATTCACACGTGCTGCAGAAAGAAAATACATAATGAATAAATAACACTGTTTTATATTTATATGTTCATATCATATGCAATCTCATTAAATACATAATTAAAAATAATTACCAATAATCATTAGTATTATTAAAATATTATTAATAATATAAAATATATATTTTATTAATATTTTAATAATTATTATTATAGAAAATTATAAAATATATTGTATTTTTAAGGCTTTTTAATAAGGTATTCTATCTATTTATAAAAAAGTTACATTAACATATATGTTATGGCGTTATTTTAATGACAAATGTCGAGAGCGCATTATTGTAGCGCGAAAGCACATTAATATAATCCGTACGCGGATTTCCTTTGCTCTCGCACAAAACCGGACGCTCGCGCTCAGATACACGCTGCTCTCGCCCACAGAGTGTGCGTGCACTTAAAAAACGTGTCTCTCCTCGCACTCAAACTGTGCACTCGCAAATCTCTCTGTGCTCATGCGCTAGATATTAATTCTTTTCGCACCTGAATTAAACGTTGTCAAAAGCTATCATTATGCACTTTTAAAAAGTATCTCAAAACAGATTTGTTCACTAAAGGCCTTTCCTTGATTTTTTATTGTTGTATTTTTGTTTTAACATAAACTGGTTATTGCACTTTGTTTTACTACTTTATCTCTTTTATGTTTGTATTTGTATTTTCTTTTCTGTGAATGCACATATGTATCTCTCTGTAAAATACTTTGTAAACACTTTTAAAAGGTGCTATATAAATAAAGCTTTAAACAATCAGACCTCCACAACTGACCGATGAAAATACTATGTGAAATCTAATTGGCTGAGAGAGAACTGAACCTGGAATTCTTTTGACAATCAGAGATGGATCTTTAATTTATTTCCAGCTGAATAATATTTAGCAATGTTAATGAAATGTGGCCTATATTAGAAATGGCTAGGAATTGGGTGCTTGGATGATTTGTACGTATAAATAACCTCTGTCCAACTGGTTGGTCTCTGAGCAATTTATCTAAAAACAACATATTATAGCCTATGGCTCTAAAGACTTTATATAAAACATCAATGTTATGTCATAATATGTCAGATACCTCAACGATGCAAGATATAACACAATAAATGTTCTGATAGAATCACTCTGTTTGGAAATGTATTGGGAGTTTTTTTTTTTAAATGCAGTGTTTGTTTTCAGTTCTGATTTATATTAGCTACACATTCAAAGGCACTGTCAAACAGTGAATATACAGTTATATGACAGTTACATGTAATTACATTGTCTGCAAATGCATTAAACCCATAGAATATAATGTAGTAATGTTATGACAAATATGGGAAATTCATTATAGTGTTATATTTGGTCTCCACATCTTAAGTATAGGGAATAGTGCATCTGACCCTTATCTAAATCTGTCCTTAATCAGAAGATAGATTTATTTATTTATTTATTTATTTCAATCCAAGTGCACAATAGGCTATATGACCACATGAACTTTAAGAATCATATAGGCCTACTTTTTTGTTTGTGTTTAGATAAATCGCTCAGAGGGGTTTGACCAAACTGTTAAACTAGGTTATTTACAAATAATCCAAGCACCCGATTCATTTCTAATATTTGATTATTATGACTGAGGAGAGACACGTTTTAAGTGCGCGCACACTCTGTGGGTGAGAGCAGCGGTTTTGTGTGAGAGCAAAGGAAATCCGCGTGCGAGCAGAGAGATTCGCACTTGCGCATTACATTATTGTGCTTTCGCGCTACAATAATGCGATCTCGACATTTGTAAATCTCAATTTCAAAAAATTGACCCTTATGACTGATTTTGTGCTCCAGGGTCACATAAGTTTTTACACATTCATATATGTACAACTGTTAAATAAAAAATAATAATTAAAAACTTTCACTAAAATATATTGACATTTTATATGTATTCTTATGTGTTACTGTTAAAAGTTATTAAAAAATAATTAATTATTAAGAAAGAATAATATTATAGGATAAAATTATATTGCTTATGTTTTCAAAGCTTTTAAGACTTTCAGTAATTTAAAAAAATATTCTACCAATTAAATATATTAACATTTTACATTTTAAAAATACTTATATATTCATATAGGCATTACTGGTAAATACATGTTAAAATTATTATTAATTTAAAAATAATAAAATATATCGCTTATGTTCTATAATCTATCTATAATTTAGTGCCATGTTGTTACCAGTTGTTGCAGTTTTTGGTGACTGTGGCTCCGGGTTTGTGCTGCTCTCCATCAACATGACAGCGACAGAGAGATAGAGACACACACTCGCCATCCTGAAACACACACACACAAACAAATGACAGATACACACTCACAGACTCTTCACAGACATAATCAGATATATACATACACACACACACACACCTGTAGGGCCGACCCATCGGGACACTGGCACCCAAGCAGACAGCTGGTGTTTCTCTGGACCTCCGTCCCCAAATCTGAGCACAGCAGCTCCTCTCTCACACATGCGACCCACTCCTGACCTTCTGTACAAGTGCTTCCATTCCCTGAGATCACACACACAGACAGAAATGATGAGGTTCCAGGACTCAGTTCACACAAACACACACGTGTGCGTCACTGACCGCAGGGCTGCAGGTTACAGGCGCTGAACTGCTGAGGCGTCCCGTGAGTCCTGACCGGACCTCTGGTTCTGCTCCTGTATCCTCCGCCGCAGGGAACCGAACACTCGGACCACGGGCTCCACGGGCCCTTCACTCCTGAACACAGAGACCACAAAGATCACATGCACAGTCACTTCACAGGGTCAGACCTCCTGGATAGAGGCTCATGATTTTCTGTTTTATAGGCCTTGAGTGGTTTGAACCATATTTTGGAATAAATCAGTGACGCCTCATAATTATTCATTAATTATTAGTATAATTATTCATTATTCACGTATTCTCCAATTGTTAGTCTCTTTGGATAAAGTAAATGTAAGGTGTGGCTTCACCCTGCAAAATTTGCGTCATTCACATTCATACAAACACAAACAGTTCTGCATTTTTATTAATGCATTAAAATACCGAATGGCACCTAGCAAACAGGCCTTCACACTTAGCTTTTCTATTTCTTTATGTATTTTTTCATTATTTTATATCTATATTTTTTATTTTATATTTATTTTAATTTAGTAACATATATACAATTTATTATTTAATTTCAATCATTTATTTTATATAGAGTATACATTTTGTTTTGGCTTTAGAAATTTTATATAGTTTTTTTTTTTTGCATTATATGCATAAATATCATGTATGTTATTGTTACATGTATGCTGCATCAAAATTGATGTGTAAATTAAAAAAAATCACAAAAAATGTGTATTTTTTTAGCACTGAGATACTATTATAGCTTTCAATAATATTTTGCATTCTTTTTCATGTTAACATTTTTAATTTGAATTTTAGTTAAAGTTTTAGTAAATTTGTTACTTTTGTCAATTTTATTTTTTTAAATATGTCCATAAAGTTTTTTTTTTTTAATATTTTTTATTTTATTTGTTGTTTTTGTTAGTTAATCAACAAAGACTAAAAGATCTGTTAGTTTTTTTTAGTTAACATTTATTGCAAATATATTTGTGTGTCTAACTGTAAATTGCTGTGTGCCATTAAAGCTTTTATGATGTTATTGACCTGCGTTGAACTCTTAATCGCAGAAAGTCTTTGTCATGTGTTGTCATGGGGTCACTGTACCGAAACAAGGTGTAATGCTGCATGTGTCCAGTCCGATGCGCTCGCCCTCACACGCACGGCCACCAAACGCCGGCGCTGGATCGGTTCCTGAACGATAGCGGCGTCTGATGCCCACGTCACATGTGCGACTGCATGCGCTCCAGGCCGTCCACTCACTCCACCCACAATCCACTGCAGAGGAGGAGAAGGAATAAAAGCAGATGGGAAAACCCTTCCCAGCCTATAGCTAGATGAAAAACAGATATGGTGCAGAGGGTGTGATGTGTGATCCTCACCAGGGCAGGGCGCTGTTCCACACTGCATCTCTCCATTGACACACGTGCTGTGAGCAAACACAAGAGACTGTCAGACGAAATCAACAGGGAAGCTGAATATACACGAAATATGTCACACGAAAAGGGATAAACTATTATCATTATCATAACTTGACAACACTGAAAAATCTCAAGGGTGGTTGACATGTTTCTGTAATATTATAGCAGTATCATGTAGTATCACACTATAATTAATTCAAGACCACTTAAAATATATGCATTTTTTTTTTAAATATATGAAATTTTTTGACTTTTAAAAATGCATTTACTATTTAAGTGAATATTTAAGCATTCAAAAATGTATTGAATTCAAAATTAGACAAATCTTGTTGAAAAAAGGGTCAAAGGTCAAAAAGTGAGTTTTTGCACAACAAGGCTGCATTTATTTGCTCAAAAATACAGTACAAATTGTGATATATTATTACAATTTAAAATAGCTGTTTTCTATGTGAATCTATGTTAAAATGTAATTTATTTCTGTGATCAAAACTGAATTTTCAGCATCATTACTCCAGTCTTCAGAGTCACATGATCTTCAGAAATCATTCTAATATGCTGATTTGCTGCTCAAGAAACATTTCTGATTATTATCAATGTTGAAAACAGTTGTGCTGCCCGATATTTTTGTGGAAACCGTGATATGTTTTATTTTTCAGGATTCACAGATGAATAGAAAGTTGCATTTATTTGAAACAGAAATCATCTGTAACATTATAAATGTCACTTTTGATCAATTAAATGCATCCTTGCTGAATAAAAATATGAATTTAAAGTAGGTTACCAGTTGTTACAGCTGTCGTCGGGCACGCTGTCTCCCTGCATGTACAGCGCCCCCTTACGGTAACACGGGCAGCGGTAGAGAGGCACACAGGTGTTATTGAACAGATAGAAACCAGGAGAGCAGTAACAGCCATCATAACACTCGGTGGCACACTCCACATCCGCCGTGGCATCCAGACACACTCGTGGACACGCGCCGCCCTGAGCCTCGCACTGAGCCTTAGACAGGAAGCTCATGCCGTCTGGACACACACCTGCAGCACACACACACACACACCAGTCAAACACGTACATCAGCAGAAGCTATGCAGAGGCTCCAGCAGGTTTAATAGCGTGATTTACCAGAGCAGGGCTGGACGTTGCAGTCTCGTGTCTGTATGTGTGGCCCGGGACAACCGAGGCCTTCGTACAGCGGCGGAGGAGAACTGCAGAAGCGCTCTCTCGTCTGAACACCAGAGTCACACTCAGACGAACACACAGACCAGCTCGACCAGGACGACCAGCCGCCGTTCACTAGTGTCACACCAGAGACAAACTATCACAGAAACTGCAGCGCTTGAGCTTGTAAAAGTATAGAGGATTTTTTTTGTTTGTTTGTTTTTTTAATGGACAAAAATAGTGAATTTTTTTTTGAAGATTAATTACATTTCGTATTTGTTTCCACTGTAATAAAGAATTAAATGATTTTCTTTTTATAAGATTTTTATTTGGTAATACTGTAGGTATTATTTATTTTGTATTATTAATTTTATCATTTTATTTTTATTAATTTTAGTTTTATAATTTCTTAATGTGAATTAGCTTTTATCTTTATGTTTTTTATACTACACAATTTTAATTTTAGTTATATTTTTAACAGTTTTTTATGTGTTGGTCATTTTTAGTTTTTAATTATTACTATTTGGGTCTAATTTATTTTTATTTTAGCTTCAGTTTTAATTCAGTTTTCATTTTAATTTAGGTTACATATTTAGCTATTTTTGTTGTGTGCTTTTGTAATTTTTATTAGTTTTTTTATACTACTATTTATATTTAATTTATTTTAATTTCAGTTTTAGTTTAGCTTTCATTTTAATTTTAGTAACATTTTTTGCAATTTTGTTGTGTGCTTTTGTCATTTTTGTTACTTATTTAAATTTTTTTTATTTGGGTTTCATTTAATTTTAAGGTCTAGTTTTAGTTCTAAAACTGTTTTGTTAATATTATTTTCAGTTTTAATTTGAGTGCTTCAATGAAAATGGCAAATGTTGCTTTGAAAACTAACTGTTAATAATTAATAATAATAATAATAACTGTTAATAATAAGCTATATATTATTAATATTTATATTTCATTTGATTGTTTATTTTATGCTTACTTAAGTTAACATATTAGAATAATGTTTAGGTAAAATTTGCCTTTACTCTGAAATTAAAAAATAGACTTTATCAACATATTTGGTCTTTTTAAAATTAATTTAGTATTTATTTATTGTTTAAATTTGAAAGAAAAAATTGTGATATTGTGAAACGTCAACTCATCAAAAGCTCTATGAATTTTACTGTACATTTCTGGCATATGGACATCAACTTGACATAGTCACCACTGATAAGCTACTACTTTAACTTAACTTTAAAATAGAAACTTACATTTTCTGTAAAGCTGCTTTGCAATGATTTGTATCGTGAAAAGTGCTATACAAATAAGCTCGAATTGAACTGAATTGTATGCATCTTTGCAACTAAGAGCAAATGAGCAAGACAAAGAAGTCTAATTTCCAATGCTATAATGAAGTGTGTTTTGAGATGTACCGGGGCAGTGGACGGTGTTGCACGGCTCGTGTTCTTCCGCCTCTCCTCCACAGGAGGCGCCGGTGAGTGTGTGATTACAGCTCCTGAAGCGCCGCCTCAGTCCCACAGCGTCCACATGATGAAAACACGTCTTACTGCACTCGGACCACAGCGTCCACTCGCTCCACGACACTCCCTCAGGACCTGCACACCTCAGAGTCATCATCTGCACTAACACTAGTGTTATACGCTAACAGTTTGATTTGAGGTTACCCTCTGAGCAGGACGAGTAGCACCGACGGGCTTCAGTAGAGTCTCCTTCACACGGCTCCACATTCACCGCTCCCACTGGACTCAGAGGAGATCTGTGGAGAAACGGCATATAGATGACTATATAAATGACTTGAATAAAATTCAACTAATTCAAAATATCAATAAAAATGTATTTTTCAATGTAATAAAACATGTTTTCCTGCTGGTTTTTACATGCATAAAAAACACTGCAGAATATAACTTTACTAAATGGTTCATGAACCAGTCAGTCCACCTGTAACGGTGCTCTATTCCTGTCCCACAGCTGCTGTCACATGACGTCCATGAAGACCAGGCCGACCAATCACAGCGAGCGACACAGCTGGATTCATCACAGGTGACACGACCTTCTTTACACACACTGTGTGATTGGATCAGACATCACGACATGCATTTATAGCATTAAACACGGCCAGATCATCAGAAGAACAGCTCAGCAATCAATTGAATCTACTGACCATGTGCTGCAGCTGCCGTTACTGACTTCTTGACCAGGCCGGATGACCGAACCTTCCCATAAACACTCACATTCACTGGCATTGACACAACGGCCCTCTTGCAGGAAGAGCCCATGAGGACAGCGACATCCTAACCAACAAAAGATCAAACATATATACATAAATCATTATGATCACTTCTCTTTTGGCCTTTCTCTTTGTAATAATGATTTATTATTTTTAAAATACAAAATTAAAATGGCTAATTAAATATTATTAAAATAAGAAATTATTTTTCGTTATTAAAATAATATATTGAAATTATTTAATAAATTTTAAATAACAAAGTATTATTAATATTACATTTAATTATTTATTTGTATTAAAATAATACATTTAATATAATAAATTGCAATAATTATTAATAATAATCATTTCCTTTTCAAATTACTATATTTCTATACTCTACAATATATATGTATTATTATCAGTATAATAATTATTAATAATTAATATTATTAAAATAAAACAATAAAAATAAAATGTAAAAAATAAAATAAAAAATATATATTTATTTAGTTTATAAATATACTAGGTCTGCATATATGTATTGATCATTTACATCAATATATAACTCATTTGAGATACAATACTAGAGGACAATACATAAAAAACTGATTAATTGTAATAAATTATTTTCATATTAACAGCCTTAAAAGGAGGTGAGGTTGTACCTGTAGTGCAGTTTAAGGTGCAGTTCCTCTCAGAATGAAGGTCAGAACAGGTCACGGGACACGGCTCGATTTTTCCAGCCAAACAATCCGACTCCTCCACCAGGATCATTCCTCCAGTGCAGCCTGCAGCAAACAACCTCATTCAACAAGAGCATACAATAAACTACAAATAATAGTCTACATTTCAGAATAACAGAATTTCTGTTGCACTATAGCAAAATATAACTGCACGCAACAGTCATGCATGCTTTTTAAACCACCGTGCAGCATGTGCAGCGCTCACCGCTCTGTGTGTCTGTGTTCGGGCCGCAGGTCTGCATGTTACACGTGTGTGTTTGTCTGCTCATCCCCTCACAGTCTCTCCCACCGTTTTTGGGCGGAGGGTTCGAGCAGGTCCTGTTCCTCACCATCAGTCCTCCACCACACGGGACGTCACAACCGGACCACTGCGTCCACTCCGACCACTGACCGTCCACTGAGAATTCATAAGAGAAAACAATGAGCCTCGAATCCGTGCGTTACAGTGATTTTACTGCGATTAAGGGAGGTTTTTAGAGATATGAGCACATTCAGCTCAGTTTGGACCCAGAAGAGGTACTTTAAAAAAAATCCAATTTGATAAAATGAAAACAAAAATGGGTTAAGACTGTCAAAATGCACATCTTTTTTTTTTTTAAGAAATAATAATAAAAATAATAAATAAATTTAATAATGAAATAATCTATTAAATATTATTAAAATATTTAAAATTATTTCCTTTTCAAATGACTATAATTTAACATGTATATTATTATTAATATTACTAGAACTTTTATTTATTGTTATTAAATACCTGGAAAAGGTATGTATAACATATAATAATAATATATTATTATAATATATGTAGCCTCTTTCCCATATTTCTCACACACTTTTAGAACTGAATTTTAGTGATACGCATGAATATACACACACACAAAACACATAACGAATATAAGTGACATAACAAATAAACTATTTAAAAAACGTACAATAAAAAATATTTTTAAAAATTAAAGTCCACATTTCACTTTGCATATTGATGATCCCGCATGAAAAAAATAATCATCTTTTTCATCTGGAAGCCATGGCTTTTTCAAGTCAAATGAATATATTTTGTTTAAAAAAATTCCATGGTAACATTTATGTTGTTTTGTAAAAAAAAATTGTGCATATATGTTTCATAAATGATGACTGTTTTTCAGTTACGAGTTCAAAGGAGTTTAATTCAATTCAATTCATTTCAATAATTAATTATGCTAACTATGGCAATTCTCAGATTATTTGTTTTTATAAACTTCATATAATGATATATTCAAATATACATTTCTCATGCATATATACAATATTTTTTTCTTGCATTGCTATAGTTCATGTATAACTTGCAATTCCAAAAATGTCTTACTTTTATTATTAATAGAAAACCGGGTAACTGTAGTAATAACACAATAACATTCAGAACTTTGAAATGTTTGCAAATTCACTCACTGATGAGAAAATCTGGTTTCAGTTGAAAAGTCTGACTGTTCTATAATATTATGTTGAATGCAAAAACAGTATGCAGGTTTTGAATGCATTATGAGTGTTAATACAGAAACATGTTTGTACCAGGACAGGCCTGCAGGAAACATGCGCGGCTGTCGAACTGAGCGCCGCCGCAGGATCCGCCCGACCGGGCGTCTCTCAGGATGTTCCTCTGGCGGAAAAGCGACCCCAGACCACACGACACGCTGCACTGACTCCAGGACGTCCAGGGAGACAGAATACAGTCGACTGCAGGACACAAACAGACCTCTCAATCCCACAATGCACCTGACCTGAGATCAGCTCACACATAAACATCTGAGACGTGTGTTTCTGGACTCACAGCAGTCGCTCTCGTCCGAGCCGTCAGCACAGTCTCTGCGCAGGTCACATCTCTTCTCCAAACTCACACACTCGCCGCTCCAGCAGCTGAACTGTTTGGAGGAGCAGAGTTTGGGCAGCAGGGGGCGCTGAGAGGGTGTGACGGACCCTGAGGACAGAGATTACTGTTATTCATGTTTCTGTGATTGAGACTATTATAAGAAGAATATTTATTAGAGAATATTATAAATGGTCAATGAATGGTTTTAATATGTGTTAGGAGAGTCAACACTATTAAAAATAACACATGTATTCATTTAGTAGATGCATTTTCAGCTTGGTCTTTACTGGTTCATTAAAAAAAAAATAATAATAAAAATAAATAAATAAATAAAATAAAATAAAAGTGCATTACAAAAAGTGTTGCGAGTAAAATGTGTAAAATGTGAAAAACAATTCAAATGAAACAATACATGATAAATAAAGCAAATATTTGCTTTTAATTCTAAAACCTTTTAAAAATCAGTTTAAGGTTCGTATAACTATATAAACAAATCAGATAGTTTATAAAAACATTTTTAACAACGTACTGAATCACCTGAATAATTGTAACAGTGTTGAAAAATAATTAAAAATAATTTTCAGTAAATGAAATTAAACTGAAATATAAATACTAAATGAAAAACTTGGCAAAGAACTGAAATAAGTTTATGGTGGAGTACTAAATTTGAAAATAAAAATTAATGAAAAATATTAAAAATTATGAACTATTAAAATAACCCCAAAATTCATAAAAATTACAAATGCACATAACAAAATTACTAAAACAAAACTAGAATGAAAACTGAAAATATAAAAATAAAAGCTAATTCAAAATATTAATAAATATTATAAAAGTGCATAAATAACACTAAAATAATGTGTCACATTTGTATATTAAGTGAAATGCTGTTGTTTGTTGTTGATGCTTGACTTTGTATGTAGAAATCAGGATGTTTTATTTCTGCATATGTGGTATAAATGCATCTAATGCTGTTACCTTAATTGACATCCTCACTGTTTTTGTGCAAGATAAATAATATCCTGCATACGGAAATAAATTATATCACAGTTCTGACAGCTCATTATTTAAAAAGATAAAGCTCTTAAATAACTTCAAGATAATTAGCTAGTACTTTTTCAGAAGGGCAACTTGACTGTAATTTAACTACTCCAGTTATGATTAGCAGCTTCTATGCAGCTTCCTCAACACTGATGGCATGTAATTAGCAAAATAAATGTTTTATTTTTACCACAGCGATCTTCATCGGATCCGTCGGGACAGTCCTCCCGGCCGTCACACACAAGAGCAGCTTCCACACAACCAAACGTCCTGCAGGCGAACTGTCCTTCCACACACACAACTCTGGGTAAACCATCATCAGGGGGTGTAGATGTATCCCAGAATCCTTTAGAAATGGATCACAGTATTTTGAAAGCATTTACTATTGTTATACACCAGCACCTGCTGTGTCAAACACACAAACACACACCTGTCGTGTTGAAGAAGGGTGTAGGCGTCAGAACATGAATGCCCGGTTCTCCGGTCGGACCGACAGCAGGTGGCGCTGTTGTGATGTGGGTCGGTGGAGCCACTCCTGGGCTGCCGTCCTGTGGACTCGTGGTGTGAAGTCCGGGACGTCCAGAGGTGTAGTTATAGTGACCAGGATGTCCTGTTGGGCCGGTGTGGGTCTGTAATCCTGGAACACCAGGTGGCGCTGTGGTCACTTCATTCCTGGGTGTGACCAACTCATCTGAACAGAACAATGAAAATAATAACTCTGTTAGTTGCAACCAATTTTTTTTCTTCTGAGGTTGATATAATAGATAATATTACATATATTACACATTGCATCATATAATGCTTAAAGAAAATGCTAAAAAAGGCTATTTTCTAGGACCATTAACATTAAAATGTATTAATTACAGTTTGTTTTCAACTGTTTACACACATTTTCAAAACTTTGCTTTTTTTTTTAAACTTTACACACAAATCCAAGAATTGCACACATTAATCAGTGTATGGTTTCGCAGATTTGGTGTGTGGTTCTGGTGTTTGAGTGTCAGGTTTCAGAAATTGTGTGACAAGTAAAGATTTTGTGTGTAAGCAGTTGAAAAAAACTGTAATAAATTATATTTCATGCATAGATCATAGAATTAATTAACATTTGCTATTTTTATTTAAAATATATAAAAATAATTATATTATTTAAAAATATAATTAAAAATTGCATTAAAGTCATGGGAATTTTTTGTTTGTATGTTTTGTTTTTTATTATGGCATAATAATAATAAAAAAAGTTTTTATGGCATTTTGGATTATGGCAAAGTTATTATCGGTAACTAAAACTAACACCATAAACACCAATGTTTGTTACATGATAAATGTTCTATAACTGAAATAAAGTATTTTTAAAAATTAAAATTATTTTATTTTCACCTAGTTGCCAAAGCAACATTTCTCATTTTCGTTTAGTTTAACTTGAAGTACCAAAATAAATAAAATTTAAATTGGAACAAAAAATTATAATTTAGAGAGAGAGTGAGAGAAAGAGAGAGAGAGGTATGGATATTTAAAAAATAGTAAAAACGACAAAAACATAACAAAATAACTAAAATTGTAACTAAAATAAAAAAATAAAATAAAATAAAAAAAAATAATCATAAAAACTATAATAGTATACCAGTAATACTAAAATAACATTGCATTATGGAAATGTTTGGGATTTTAATGTGTTTAATTGTCATGATAATGTCAATGTAACAATGTAAAAAAAAAAAAAAAAGTAATTGTCATTAAAATATGATTCACCGTTTTTAAGTAAAATCCATTTTTTCTGTTGTTTTTAATGTGGTATAAATTATGACCTGGTCACTTGATTCACCCAGGTAATGAAAACTAAAAAGAAACCCCAGCAGGCAGCAGTTGTACCTCCTCTACAGCCCAGCACCTCCACACGGAGATAGAAAGTGTGGCGAAACTCTACAGGAATGATCCGGAGAAACCGAGCTCGGACCAATCTGTCCAACCAGCGTGTGACGGGCGTCCGGCTGACCATCCTCACCTCAAATATCTGACACGGACACAACAACACACTTCATTTACACATCCATTTCATTCCTAAATCAGCTAACTTTCATTTTAACCAGCACAGCTCAATCCTAATGGCAAATTCATGGGTTTGATTACCTTCGGAGGAGAGCCTCTGTCTCCAGTCTCAGTGAAGTTGATGAAGTGGTTCTCCACCAAAGCGAAGGCTAGTCTGTATTTGCTCAGGTATCCCCACATGCGTTCACTGCCCTGTGTCACCACACCAGAAATCCACGTGGGCTCCAGGAAATCCACCTGGAAGTACGGATGAGGGTCTCCAGGTAACGGACTCCATCCGGGCTCCATCACCATCCTGAGAAGCACCGAAACAAACAAATATGACCTTGGAGCACAAAACCAGTCATAAGGGTCAATTTTTCCGAAATTGGGATTTATACATCAGCTGAAAGCTGAATAAATCAGCTTTCCATTGATGTATGGTTTGTTAGGATAGGACAATATTTGGCCGAGATACAACTATTTGAAAATCTGGAATCTGAGGGTGCAAAAAAATCAAAATATTGAGAAAATCATCTTTAAAGCTGTCCAAATGAAGTTCTTAGCAATGCATATTACTAATCAAAAATTAAGTTTTGATATATTTACGGTCGGAAATTTACAAAATATCTTCATGGAACATGATCTTTACTTAATATCCTAAAGATTTTTGGCATAAAAGAAAAATGTATAATTTTGACCCATACAATGTATTTTTGGCTATTGCTACAAATATACCCCAGCGACTTAAGACTGCTTTTGTGCTCCAGGGTCACATTTGTCATCAAAGGCATCATGTTTAAGGGTTCAGGGTTAAGTCGTGGCCTAATGGTTAGAGAGTCGGACTCGTAATCCAAAGGTTGCGGGTTCGAGTCTCGTACCGGCAGGGATTGTAGGTGGGGGGAGTGAATGTACAGCGCTCTCTTCCACCTTCAATACCACGACTGAGGTGCCCTTGAGCAAGGCACCGAACCCCCAACTGCTCCCCGGGCGCCGCAGCAAAAATGGCTGCCCACTGCTCCGGGTGTGTGTTCACGGTGTGTGTGTGTTCACTGCTGTGTGTGTGCACTTTGGATGGGATAAATGCAGAGCACTAATTCCGAGTATGGGTCACCATGCTTGGCCACATGTCACTTCACTTCACTTATGTTACATGTTGTGGTTGATCTTGTTTATTCTATTTGCAAGATGAGATGATAGTCATATTTTCTTCATCTGTGCATTCATACGTTTATAACCTTAATTCATCATAAAACGCTCACACATTGGGTACGACGTTGAGCCGGCCAGCGTCTGCAGGATTATTCTCTCTGTATGAGGACGAGGTCAGCTGACCATAATGGATATGCCCATCCTCCAATCCCAGAGCAGAAGAACAGACACCTGATGCGTGACAGACAGGTGAGAGTCAGGTAAGGTTATTACAGTTAACTAATAGCATAAAAAACTTTTTTGTTACTTGAAAAAATGTTAACTGAAAAAAAAACCAAAAACAACATTTTATTTCAGCTAATGGTCAAGGCAAGATTTCTCATTTAGTTCTCATTTAGTTTAACTTGATGTACTAAAATAACTAAAAATAAAATATAAATGAATAAAAATGTATAGACTTTTTTTTTAATGATAACACACAAGAACATTTTTAAAACTTTAACTAAAATTTAACTGAAAAGAGAGAAAAAAAATCTAATTCAGAATATTAACAAAAACTATAATAATATATCATATGAGTTCCTACCTTTCTGACCAGGTCCTCCTTCCTAGGAAATGCAAAGAAAAAAATAGTTAAGCAATTTAAAATTTAATTCCAGGATTAATTACAATTACTGTGTATCTGATATACAACTAATAAACATTAATAACAAAAACACATTTCAATAAAACACAACTATAACCAATCTTCCGGACAGCAGAGTCACAATAGTACTACTTAAGCTCTAGCAACACCATTTGTGGCATATTATATGAAAGAAAATGTGGCATATTTAATAAATGTAATATTAAATATTTTGCATTATGACAGAGTTTGTTTAGCTTTACAAATTTTAATATTATAATTATTTTTTAAGTGATATGGCTATACTTTGGGGTTGGGCATGTCATTGTCAGATTTGCTTTAACTGTGATTCTAGTTAACATGTTAATAGGTTAAGTCTCACAGTGGTGGTCAGGGCACTCTGAGTGGTCACGGGTTTCTTGCTGGGCGTCCGGAGAGGGGCGGCGGTGGGGGTGACGTGGGTAATATTTGTGTGTGTGCAGTCTCTCTCATCCGCTCCATCAGGACAGTGAGGAACTCCATCACAGCGGCGCTGCGCCTCAATGCAGCCTCCTGGAGGAGGACAGGAGAACTGACCCGACGGGCAGACCGCCGGCCTTCTGGTAGGAGCGGGACGAGTTCCTGAACATAAAAGAAATATTTCATTTATAACTAAATAAAGTGTTCAGCAAGAAAAAAAAGCACGGAATAACTGAAGCCTATTTTTAGGATGAATAAGAGTTTTGCACTGTGACATTATTTATATTTTTTCCCTTCAAGTTCCAATAAATTTTTGTAATTCTCATTATTTTTAATGACGATTTTCATTTTAAATAATTGCATTAGTGACATGCAGTATTTGTTGTTATTTCTTATTTAAATCTGTAAAAATCTGATGCAATTTCTTTTTGTTTTGGTTCTGGGGTTAAATGTATTATAATAATTAATTATATATTTTCAAGATTTATAAAACACTAAATCAAGGCCTTTTTTTTTATCCCCTTTTTGTCCAGCAGATTAAGTCTGGGTCTATGCCCACCTCTGTTATTTTATAATATCATTAATATAACATTATAATATTTATTAATATTTTTAATTAGTTTTTTTTATTTCAATTAAAGTTTTAGTAATTTTGTTGTTTTGTCATTTTTTTAATGGTTTTTGTCAAAAATAGTCTATTTATTTTTATTTTCCGTTTCATTTTTAGGAATTATATTTTATTTTATTACACCAACTAAAGTAAATAAAAATGGCAACTAAAAGAAATGAAGCTATTATTTTATTCAAATTATCATAGATTTTTAAGAATATTTTTGTTGTAGTTAATGATAGTAACACTGGTACCCACCGCAGTTGAGCTCATCTGTCCCGTCGCCACAGTCGTTGATCCCGTCACACAGCGCCCCCTGTGGACCAGCAGGAACACAGCGGCCGTTACCGCAGAGGAACTCGCTTTCTCTACAGGGACGTAGCGGCGGGATGGGAGTTGACCACTCATGCTCTGATGGGAATGAGAGTCAGAGAATTTTAGATGGACATTAGGGCTATTCACTTGCTGTTCTGACACCTACAATGCAATGGAGAGGGAAACTAAAGATACCATCATCACAGCCCATGACTTCGACTCTCAGATAGATTCCATTCTGAAAATCATGAGGCAGAATTCGTACAAAGCGAGCCGACACCATCCGGTCCAGACGGGCCAAAGCTATGCCACGGTCATCACGGTTTCCCTGAAACACCTGGAAAAGACGTTCAGAAAACAAAATATAAATACTTATTTCTTAAAGGTGCAGTATATAATATTGACAACTAGTGGTTGAAATGGGTACTGCAGTACAAATTCAAAATGCTTTAATACAAAATTACACAAAATATTTTTTCCATCTTTGAGAAGGCAGCCTCAGCCAACAGAAAAAAAATCAATGTTTCTATTTTGCTGCATGTAGTGTTTAAGTGGGACATGAATTGAAGTGTTAGATGAGATTTTGTCTGTTGTTGATGTTGGGTGATTGTGTGTCACCTTAGCTTTGGGTCTGGCGTCTGTGATCAGCTCTTTATAAGTGAACCACTGACGTCCGTCGCTGCTGAACTGCAGATAGAAGCTGGAAACAAACGTGTCAAACACGCCGCCACCCTGCATCAACACGCCTGCAACACCACAAACAAACAACACATTACATTTATTTAGCTTTATTATGAAAAGCAAAGTGTCACTGTTATGGTCTTGCATTACCCATATTTCAGCACCAGAAAAACACAGACAAAGCAACCACTGAGAACAACCTAGCAACTGCCAAGCAACACCCTAGCAACCACCCAGAGAACTCTACAAAATGCCTAGCAACACCCTAGCAACCACACAGCAATGCCCTAGTAACTACCCATAAAACCCTATCAACTGCCTAGCAATGCCCTAGCAACCATCCAGAATTCCCTAGAAGCTGCCAAGCAACCACACAGCAACGCCCTAGCAACCACCCTGATAATCCTAGCAAACCGACTGACATTTCCCTTGTAATTAGCCAGCATAACCTAGAAATCACACAGCAAAGCCCCAGTAACCACCCAGAACACCCTAGAAACTGTCTAGTAACCACATAGCAACACCCTAGCAACTCCCAAGCAACTCCCTAGTAACTGCCTAGCAACCTCCAAGTAACAACATAGCAAAACCATTGCAACCACCCTGAACACTCTAGCAACTGCCTAGTAACCACATAGAAACACCGAAGCAACCACCCTGAACACCCAAGCAACCACCTAGTAACCACATAGAAACACCCTAGCAACCACCTAGTAACACCACAGCAACACCCTAGCAACCACACAGCAATGTCCTAGCAATCACCCAAAACACCCAAGCAACTTCCTAGTAACTGCCTAGCAACCTCCTAGTAACCACATAGCAAAACCCTAGCAACCACCTTGAACACCCTAGCAACCGCCTAGTAACCACAAAGCAACACCCTAGCAACTGCCTAGTAACCACAAAGCAACACCCTAGCAACCACCCTGAACACCCTACTTTAGCAACCTCCAAGTAACCAAATAGCAACACCCTAGCAACCACCCTGAACACCCTAGCAACCGCCTAGTAACCACATAGCAATACCCTAGCAACCACCCTGAACACTCTAGCAGAAGCCTAGCGCTGACTGTTGCCACAGCAAGCACCACCCACAATTTCTTCAGAAAATGTACTCATTGTTATTATTATTAACAGTTTTTGCAGACTATAACTTGTAAATGCATTGGACATTTAAATAATGTTATGTCACTAAAGTACAGTAAAATGAAAATCGATGTGAACTATATCATTTTCAAAAATCATCAACATTCTAACGGACCTCAGCTTCAGTGAACAGCAGACTCTTTGACTATATGTTCTTAAATGAGCTGTTGTTTGTGACCTGTGATGTTGTAGTGTCTGAGCAGGTCTATCTGGAGGTACGGCCAGCGTGACAAGTGTCTGTGCTCCTCAGGGGTCCCGGCCGGGAGCTCTCTGTACTCCTCTGGCTCCGGGCTCCAGCCCTGCAGGTCACTGTGGGGGTCCCGAGCGTGCAGACGTCCCGCTGACGGAGGGTGACCGGGCTGATGGGATGAGGCGCTGAAGCTGCTGGCGGGGAGCGAGAGAACGCCCAGAGCGGACCAACACTCATCTATAAAACAACACACAGAATACAGTATGTGAAAATAGAGAGCTAGAAATGACTCAGACGCATCAAAGACTAAATCAATAAATAAACACTAAATAAATAAATATAATAAAACATCTTTATATTATACAATATACATGAATAATACTTCACATAATTAGTACTGCATTTAAAGAGTTTTCATAATAAAAATGTATATTTGCAAGTGATTTATAGTAGTTTTCTTGACCATGTGCATTAAAAATGACACAGTTCTGCTCAAAAGTTTATAGAATTACCCTTGCAGAATCTCTGAAAATGATAATTATTTTAACAAAATTAGAGGAATCATAACCATTGCATTTTTTTTTTTTATTTAATGCCGTTCTGGATAAGCTGTTTCACATAACAGATATTTACATATACTGTAGTTCATGCGGCAAATTAATAGCTGAATTTATAAAAAATATCTGTTCAAAAGTTTATTTATCTTTGATTCTTAATACTGTGTCTTTACATTAGAATGATTCACGACTATTTTTCTGTTTTGTGATGGTTGTTCATGAGTCTAAAGAAGCCTGTTTCTGCCACTGAATAAAAAATTAAAAAGATAATTACGACGACTTCTATCACAATTCTGACCTTTTTTTCTAAGAACTGTGTGATATAAACTTGCAATTCTGACTTTTTTCTCAAGCTATAAAGTCGGAATTGTGAAAAAGAACTGGACTTTATAACTCACAATTGTGGGTTTATATCTCACAATTCTGAGAAATTCTGAGAAAAGAAGTCAGAATTGTGAGATATACACTTGCACCTGTGAGAAAAAAAAAATTAAGAATTGATTTCCTCTTTTTGTGTAATTTAGATGGAAAATGTTTGCCTTTTTATAGTACGAGTCACTTATCAAAAGTTGCTAAACGTTGTCAAATAAATGTTTTAAATAGCTAAATTTGTTGCTTGGTGCTTTTGGAAGAAAAAGCTGCTAGGGTAGTCTGAAAAGTTGCTAAATGTAGCAACAAAATTGCTAAGTTGGCAACACTGGTACTGATGTGTGTTTGAATGAAACGGACCTGCAGGTGGCAGAGGGTACGTCGGGACGGTCGGAGGGCCCTCTGGTGGTGTGGAGGGTCCAAGTGTTATTGGCAGGATCATAGGTGTAGTTGTCATGATAGTGCTGCCATTACCTGACAACACAACACAACAGACTTCTGCATGAACAACAGCGCATTCTGACTGCATGATCAATCTAGTGTTATTATGAATACAAAAAACACAAGTATAAAATAATAACTATGACAAATATGTCAAACCTTTTTCTTCACAATAGCAACACTTGTCTCCTTCCCCTGGAATCAGAATATGACCCTGAAACGGAGAAAAAAATGTTACCCAGTTAAACCTGAACATGCAATATCGGTCACAGTTTATAATGAGGTCCCATTAGTTAATGTTAGTTATAGCATTAACAAAGCTCAATCTATTTGTTATAGTCTTTATTAATCTTTGTAAGTTAATAAAAATACAACTATAATTTCCCTTTAGCTCAGGTCCATTAAATAATATTAAAAGACACAACTTTTATAAAACATTTATAAAAAAACAGCCTGTTTCAGAGTAATAAACAGAAAAATAACAATATTGACATTGAAAAATTCATTAATTATGAAACAAATACAATTTCAGGAATGAGGCAATAATTTAACGATCAAGAAATTAATATTTAAATAATAATTAAATTTAAATAACAGTTTCATGTTCATGGTTCTCTGATGACAGTTAATGTTCAAATTATATGCAGGTAAACAAATAAATTGTTTAATATTTTTAATTTATTTAATTTTACATTTCTACAATTGAATTAACTATTAGCTTTTCATCAACTCACAAACTTCCTGCAGATTCAGGAGAGTTTTGTTTTATTCTCATCTGACAGGGTCAGTTCAGTTAAATCAATAATATTACTGAATATTAAGTGTCTTTTAACACATACACACACACACATTCACATTCACACACACACTCACACACACACACACACACACACACACCTGTGGGCATCCAGTGGCAGTGTAAGGACAGTACGGGACGCACTGCACCGTGAGGTTAGGCCAACACTGGCACATCTGACACTGACCGCCTTTCCAGCGCTCTCCCACCACATGTGTGTGTCCATGATATTCACACTCACTGCACGGCTCCGTCTGACAGCTGAGAACAAACAAACCGCATGAAAAATATCAAAAACATCCGCTAAAGCACTGCACTAGAAATGCCAGGGTCATGGGTTCGATTTCCAGGGAAAGCTTGTATTAATCAAATGTATAATGCATTTATGCAATGCATGTAGTTTTTGGACACAAGCATCTGCTGAATGCATTAATGTGACTAATCAAAACATCTGCTAAAGCAAAAGGGCAGATGTGTGTTTTACATTTCCCAGATCTTCAGGATGCTTTGCAACATATTAATACTAACCGTCGTGCTTTCCGGTAAATTCCTCGGCACTGTCGGCCGTTTCCGTGTTTTAAGGGGTTATTCGGGCTGCGGAAAGACCACTGGACACTCTGAACACCACAGGGACCCAAACACTCGCCCCACTGAGACCAGGACGACCAGCCACAGTGAACTGATGAAAACACACATGTGCAGTGATTAAAAACCTTGCAGGACACACTTTAACAAGAAACAGAAAGAAAATCATAACATTTAAGCAATAGCAAGTACCAAATCATGGCTTTGCTGGTTTGTGATGTAAACTAAAGTTTACTGGCTATTTAAAAAAAAAAAAAAGGCTTCTATGTGTCTCATCCCAATTTTCTGTTTCAACAGGAAAACAACAGAACAGAATTAGTTAAATAAGGGTTTTCTAAAATGGGGTTCGCAAGAAATCTGTAAGGAGTTTGTGAGTTCATGAAAAGCTAATAATTCATTAAACTGTAAAAAAAAAAATCAATTTAAATAAAACTCTTAATAAAAAATACATAACATTTTATTTGTTTACCAGCATGTAATTTGAACATTAACCAACATCAGAGAACCGTGAACATGCAAAATTGTTGTTAAATTATTTCAATATTAATTTCTTGATCATAAATAAAATAATTTTTCTAAATCATAAATAAAATGAATATTTCGTTTTTTAATTGACATGACTTAATAATAATGAAGCATATTTACAGTAAAATATTCATTTTTAAAACAACTTAAAAGAAATTAAAATCAGCATAAATTAAATTTTTTTTACATAAATATCACCATCAATTAAAAACAATTTAAATTAAAATCACCATCAATTAAAAACAATTTAACAATTATTAGCATAATGTATACATAGGAATTACAATAAAAAAATTAGTGATTTTTTGCACAGGGCATATGGGTTGATGAAATTTTTTTTTATTGAAATAATACAAAATTAAAATTCATTACTTTAATATAAAATACACTGAAATAAAACACTTTCAACCAATCAAATAAAACACTAAAAATTATGAAGTATTTTATACCTGCATGTCATGCGACCATTAACTGACATCAGAGAAGCATGAACGTGAATGTTTTATTAAATGAGTGTGTGTGAATGTGTGTGTGATTGCGTGTGTGTGTTCTTGTTTATCCTACATTGCGGGAACCAAAGGATAGTAAAACTTGAAATTTTTGACATTGTGGGGAAAAAATGATTGAAAATACTAAATGATGTATATCTGAAAGTGTAACAAGGCAAACAGGTTTTCTGTAAAGGGTAGGTTTAGACGATATTGTTTGCTCAGTATAAATAATAGACATCTATGGAAAGTCCCCACAATTCACAGAAACCTAACATAGTGTGTGTTTATTTGAGTGTGTGTGTTTACCTGAGCACTCTGGGTTGGTGTGACAGCGCTGGGCTCGTCCTCGCTCACACACACAGACGTCACAGCCCACTTTGACCTGCTGACCGGGCCAGTATCGAACCCCAGACACCTCACACACACACTCCTCCGGCCGAACACACTGCTGCTCGTGATTCATGACCGTCCCATCAGGACACCAGCAGCCTGATGGGAACAACAGAACCAATGAGGAAACAGGCAACCACGAATATACAGTACAGTAAAACAATCTTTATATTACCACAGCATTGGCATTTATGAATGGCCATCAGTGACATTAAAGAAGCTGTGAAGTATTTAGAGAGGTAAAGCATTGTTAATGGCTCACCTGTGAAACACCTGGAGTTGTGGTCACATGTTGTTGCCCAGGATACGTGAGCGCAGGTCAAAGGGCACGGCGCACAGCTATGTCTGACGAGGCCCACGGGACAAGAGACGTTAGCGCAGCCGTCCTGAGGACATGGCTCTGAAAAACACATCTGTGCTCAGCTGGGAAACATTGAGTGCTTCGTCATGGAGCTCATTTAACAAAAAAAGAGCAGATGAACCGACCTGCACTGCTCTATACATCACTACAAACTGAGTTTAAACATACACTGCTAATACAGAAACCACAAGGGCTTTAGCTCAGCAATACTGGTCTGTTACTGGAAATGGCTGGTCTGTAACTGGTGAATATAAATAAAATATTGTTTGGTAAATGGTCTGAAATATAATACCCTTGATTCTAAATACTCTGTGTCATTACCTGAATGATCCATGACTGTTTTTTGTGTTTTGTGATGTTATTGTATTAATATTTTGAATGTTTTTTTTTTTTTTAATGTTTTAATGTGTTAGTATTTATTAATTTTAAATTTTTTTTTATGTCCATATAGTTGGTATTATTTTTTTATTTATTTTAGTTTTTGTTATTTTATTACATCAATTTAAAAATGAGAATTATAATAAAAATAATTAAAAAAAAATGTTTTTAGTTTACATAAATAACCCAGATTTTTATATATATAATGTGTTTTTTTTTTTTTTAATTTACAATTATTCTAACATCCCCTGTTGAAACTGACACTACTTAGACCAGATTGGACGAGCTCCAAAATGATTTTAGATGGCTAAAAAATGGTTATGGTTATAACTGGAGGTAGACCATCTTAACCAAACTGGTAACCAGTGAAGATTTAAACTAGTGCCCAGCTGAAGCGGTTCATCTGCTGGAAGTTGTTTGTTCTGGTTCTTACTGATGTCAGTAGTCAGGTTAGTTTCTCCAGGTAGTTCTGCACAGGTTCTGCCTCCGTTCTGCGGTGGGAAACACTCTCTCTGACGGACTTCAACACCGCCACAACCTTTACTGCAGTTCGACCACGTGACCCACGGCAGCCAGTAGCCATCGACTGTCAGACAGAACCAAAAACTCAACATCTGACACCAGAACGTTCAGACATCAGGTATGTATTTACATGGGGTAATATATTGTACCGGGGCAGGCGGTGGAGTAGCACTGCTGTCGCTGTGTTTTCTCTCCTCTGCAGTGTCCGTCTGAATCCTCGCGGCTGCAGCGTCTCTGTCGGCTCACGGTTCCTGATCCACAGCTTCGGCTGCAGGGGCTCCAGGAGCTCCAGGGACCCCAGACACCACAGCCCGTCTCATCTGAGGCGTCTGTGGGACAGTCTGCTGCACCGTTACACAACTAAACAACACAAGGACAGACAGACCACACTGCCTCAACCACATCATGAATGATTCCAAGGTAAATGTCTAAAAAACAAGGTGGTATTCTCGATGTATAAACACAAATAAACACATCAATATTGATTTCACGCAGATCAGTGTACCGCATTGAAGGGCACACAGGATCCATCAGCACAGGTGAACTCCAGACAAACGCGACTGGCGTTTCCCTCACTAGGTGGCGCTGTGGTGGGACTGACTTTATCTGGAGAAAGAGAATTATACAAATTATACATTATTATATAGATATATAATAATTATCACAGTTCTCACAGCAGAACTGTTGTGCGTCTCCAAATAATTGAATAATCCAAATAATCGTTTCTGAATGAATCCACGTTCTGAACGAATCGAGAAAACCAATGATTCAATGGGCTATTCATAAAGAGAGTCATTTACTTAATTCCTGAATGAATCCGCAGTTTGAAAGAATCGAATGAATGAATGAATGCCTCAATGACTTATTCATTAAGACATTTACCGCCACCTACTGGCAATTTTAGTTTCTTATTTAGAGTATCCTTTCATAAAAAAAAAAATTAATATTTCCTTTCTCTGCCAAATTTGATGTGATATATATATATATATATATATATATATATATAATTTACAGAATTTTAAGGTGATCCTTCTTGTCAGCTGCTTTAAGGATTGAAATACATGTTTTAAATAATTTTTAAATGCCACAAAATTTGGAAAAACTAAGAAATTGAAATGTTCTTATTTTTTAAATTAATACTAATTAATACCAATTAATACTAGCACTTACCTATTCTATTCTATTAGTTTTGGTCTAATTTATTTAAATTAAAAGAAGACACCTTGATATGTGCACTGTGCTGGACTAACTGAGACTTGTCACAGCACTTGTATATTGTTGCTCTCTTGTTGGTCTGTTTGCTTCTACTTTGTAAGTCGCTTTGGATAAAAGCGTCTGCTAAATGACTAAATGTAAATGTAAGAAATCTACGTGTGTAAATAAAACATCTACAGTATGATTAAAATATAATTGCCCAAAAATTCAACCTCTTTGCTTCTGATATGAACTTAAATGAATACTAATAATTAAGAATTAAAAATATTATTTTTGTGTGTATCTGTGATGCTTTTCAGAAAATTCAACATACATACATATTTGTTTTATAATGTCATTCTGCATATAGAATAAACAGCTCTATTGATTATAGTTAATTAAATATTCATCTCAATAAACATTCTAGACATTTTGTTTTAGTAGAAACTAACCGCAGAGTATCTCATCCTCTCCTTTAGGGCAATCAGGAATCCCGTTACACACGCGTGAAATGTTAACGCATGTGCGGTTATCACAGGAGAAACTTCCCGGACAGGGAGGAATCCGTGTGGAACCTGGCGAGAAAAAATAATACATTTGTGACCCTGGAGCACAAAAGCAGTCTTAAGTCGCTGGGGTATATTTGTAGCAATAGCCAAAAATACATTTTGTATAGGTCAAAATTATTGATGATTCTTTTATGCCAAAAATCATTAGGATATTAAGTAAATATCATGTTCCATGAAGATATTTTGTACATTTCCTACTGTAAATATATCAAAACTTAATTTTTGATTAGTAATATGCATTGCTAAGGACTTCATTTGGACAACTTTAAAGATGATTTTCTCAATATTTAGATTTTTTTGCACCCTCAGATTCCAGATTTTCAAATAGTTGTATCTCGGCCAAATATTGTCCTATCCTAACAAACCACACATCAATGGAAAGCCTATTTATTCAACTTTCAGATTATGTATAAATCTCAATTTCGAAAAATTGACCCTTATGACTGGTTTTGTGGTCCAGGGTCACATATGAAAACAACACAAAAAACAAAAACAAAACGTGGCTTCAGTCTGCCCGGTGAACAGATGCACTCAGTGATTGTGGGAAATGAGATGACTAACTTCTTTTAGGAATACTAGAGGAACTAGTGTGTGTGTTTGTGTGTGTGTACTTGTTTATGCTACATTGTAGGGACCAAATGTCTCCACAAGATAGTAAAACCTAAAATTTTTGACATTGTGGGGGCCAGTCTGCGGTCCCCACGAGGGAAAAAATGATTACAAATAGTAAATGATGTTTATCTGAAAGTGTAACAGTGCAAACAGGTTTTCTGTAAGGGGTAGGTTTAGGGGATAGAAAATATTGTTTGGTCAGTATAAAAACAATAGAAGTCTATGAAAAAAGTCCCCACAATTCACAGAAACAAACATGTGTGTGCATGTGTGTGTGTGTGCATGCGTGTGTGTGTGTGTGTTTACCGCAGTTGTCCACGCTCTCATCTGAGGCGTCTCTACAGTGGGGCGTCCCGTCACACAGCTGCTGGTGTTGGATGCACTGGTCTCCGGTCTGGCACAGAAACTGGTCAGACTGACATGTGCGGGAACAGCGTTTCTCATCGCTCCCATCCAGACAGTCTGTCTCGCCGTCACAGCGCCACGCTAACGGCACACACTGACCGCTAGTGCAGCCGAACTCAAACTGACTGCATCCTGAAATCACAGCATCAGTTGTGATAATAAAAAATGCTTTATAACCGCATCAAACTTTCAGTTAATCTTTGAATCAGATGATACTGTCGATACCTAGCTGTAAGAGTTTTTATTTTATTTTAGTTATTATTTGTTTATTTTTACTTTATTATTATGATATGTTATATATGTTATATACCACAACTGTTCTGTTTATTAAAAAAAAAAAAAGTTAATAGTTCAGTTATAATGCAGGTCAAAGTTCAGTGTTTCCTGCACCAAAAACAGTTGTAAATTCATTTTTTGTCTTTGTTTTTAGCATTTGAATAAGTTTTTATATACATTTTGGTCTTTTGTAATTATGTTTTATGTAATTAAAGAGTTTAAGTTATAATTTTGAGTTAAAGATTTGAGGTATTATTTGATTTAAAAGTCATATGTTAATGACCTTTTGATGTCGTTACTATGATAATTTCTGAATTTATTATTTTTGCAGTTCTTGACCCTTTGAAAATAAATGTTTACATTAATAAATGTAATTTTTTTATTTTCAAGAAAGGGGTAGAATATTTGTAGAATATTTAGTTGATTGTCTTTATGCTTGCAAAATAGGAAAGAAATGGTTTTGCAGTTTAGTTTCTAATAAATGCACTTTTTGAACTAATGAGCATTGGTACGTGTTCATAAAAAATAGTTTTATTTAAATTTTAATTTCAGAAAAGCATAGTCCTGTTTTGCATGGATACCTTTGACAGGACAGATGAGCTCATCGATGCCGGATGGACAGTCCCTGTGACCGTCACACACTCTCTCTGCAGACACACACTGATCTCCAGGACACTGCAGCTCTCCGATGGCACACACACACCCTCTCTCATCGCTGTAGTCCCCGCAGTCATCGTGACCGTCACAGCGGTGGAGGAACAACACACAACGACCCGACGAACAGCGGAACTCGTCCTGTCTGCACAACATGCCACAGTCTGCAACAACACTCAGCATTAACATCATGACAGGATCACTCAGGAACGTATACAGTGACTGTTTATCACGTGAATGATGACAGAATTCTGCTGTAAAGCCTGACATATGAAATAAAAGAAAGAAAAAAAGAAAGGCTTAAAAAAAAAAAAGTTTGCATATGTGTTATATCTGTTATCATATTTGGTCCATCAGGTTTTTGCCTTATACAGTATGAAAGTGAGAATATGGAGAGAAAACATCAAATTCTAATCGCTTGTAATGTAATCAGTTAGATCAGCTAAAATGACTCTTTTCTTCATACAAATTGCTTTCAGTAATATTTTTGGGTGTTTATGCATCATTATCTGATTTGCATAATTTCTTTAGCTAAAACACTGACAATACTTGCAAATAAACTATGGATGTACAAAATATTAACATCATATCAGTTATCGGCATGCTCATTTTCTCCTTAATTTACATGCAGATAATATTTGCCATGTTAATGATTAATAACATTAATAATTTTATAATGATTGTTTATTATACTTTATATTAAATTACTGTTTTAAGCCTAAATTCACTTGCAGCGTTTAAAACGTTTGTATTTTTATGTTTTCAGACAAAAATATTTAATTTATTGCAGATTCTCATATTTACATGGCCAAACATTTTTAATTCTGATGCTTGTAATGTAAAACAACGAGATGCTTATTAAAGTATAGCAAGTACCTACATAAGATCATATAAATATCAGTCATCAATCCACATCTCCAATAATATGTCTCAGTAAGATGAGACTGAAATGCTCCAAACATATAATGCAGTGATTGAGAGCTGAAGAAATAAAGGCTCCTCAGAAGATGTGAGATGTTCTGAAGGCTTGTGAAGATCATTCCTCCGCTGAGGAACAGTGAAAGTAAAGCTTCTGGAAACAAACACTCCTCAAAAGATCCTGAGGATCAGATTTGAGATTTTTTTAGAAAATGATTGATGGAGAATCAAATAAAGCTGAGCTGCTTCAGTCTAGTAAGTGTTCATCTAAAAATATTACTGCAGTTATTCTGACGCTTACTTGATAAAAATCAGTCAAGATTTGACAGCAGAAAGACACGTGAAGCTCAAGTTGAAGCTGGACGTGATACTAAGACCTTTTACTTGAAAAAATCTAAACTATCAAGCCATGGAGTAGATCGTGTGCAACAGGTTTATCAGCAAATTTTGATCATGTTGATCATTTAGAGTTTTAGAAATTCATCAAACATACCTTGTTCATCAGAATCATCAGCAAATCCACAATCCAGCCTCCCGTCACAGACTTTATGAGCCGGCAGACAGCGTCCGTTCACACACCTGAACTCTCCGGCCGGACAGCCGGGCTCTGGTGAGGTCGGGGCACAGAAGTCCTCGTCTGATTGGTCGGCGCAGTCGGGATGGCCGTTACACCTGAGCTCCAGCGGTAAGCAGGCCCCACCGGAGCAGCGGAACTGATCTGGAGGACAGGTGGAGGGACAGAGTTCATCCGAACCGTCGCCGCAGTCGTCCTCATTATCACAGAGCCAGACGGCGGGAATACAGCGCTGAGAGCCGCCGGAGCACAGGAACTCTGAGTCCTCACAGAGAGACGGAGGAGGACATGGAGATCCAGCACAACGCCACAAACCATCAGAACAAGAGCTGAAGGACAGAACACAGAATTTAGGATTAAAAGAGCAAAGAAAATTTAGATGGAAAATCATACCAATACAAAAAACTTATTAACCAATTAATTGTTATTTACTTCAGCTCAAACACTCCTGCTTTCTTTATAATATTGCTTTCAGCAATCATTTTTGGGTGTTTATGCATCATTACATAATTTGCATAATTCCTTTAGTTAAAACACAGACAATATGTGCAAATAAATTAAGGATGTACAAAATATTGATATTAGATCTTTTTTTTTTTTTTGGAATTTATTATTCACCTAAATTTACATTTAGATAACATTTACCATGTTAACGTTTAATAACATTAATGGTTTAACAATGATTTTCTGTCTTTCATAATGTATTATGAATAATGAATATATTTTACATTACTGTTTTAAGCATAAATTCACTCGCAGTGTTTAAAACTACTGGTTTTATTTTTACTTTTTTATTTTTGTTTTTAGACAAAAAAGTATATTAAAATAGTAATTTTAGTACATTTTGTTATGTTTTTAGACAAAAATAACATTTTTAAAAATAGTAATTTTAGTAAAATAGTATTTTTTTATTATTGTTTTTTTTTATTTTATGTTTTGAGAAAAAATGGTATATTAAAATAATATTTTTAGTGAAATAGTATTTTATATTTATTTTTGTATTAAGACCAAATCATATATTAAAATAGTAATTTTAGTATTTATTTATTTTTTAAGACAAATTGTTTTAATATTAATTTGGCTGTTTATTATTTATCCTTTGTTAACCATGGAATGAAAATAATAATCAGTATGGCCAGTATTTCAATGCAAAATCTGTGCATGCCTAAAATAAACAAAACAATCAGCACACGAAATTCATTCTCAGTAAATTCCCCTCTGAAAGTTTGACCAAAAGAGTATATTTACAAAACTAAATTGCAATTCCGTTTGCTGCAGTACAGTCTCTCTAAACTGACCAGTTCTGACAGTGCTGAGTGACAGTCGCTCCTGCGGGAAATAAAGATCCGTCCCACTCACACGGACACTGAGACGGAGGGATACAGACGTCACCTGCAGACGACAGACAGACATCAGACATCCTGTATGCAAAAAACGAACTAAAAGTAACTACTGCAAACTGGAAAACGCATCAGATGAACAGATAAGGCACACACACATAAACACACACTTCTCTTACCGTGTCTCACAGTGCCGTGAGGACAGAAACATCCCTCCACACAGGAGAGGGCGCTGCAGAGGGGATCAGACACAGAAGGAGTGCCGGGACACGCTGGAGAACAGGCAGCACCGCAGGCCTCATAAACCAAACCGTTCTCACACTGCAGCGCTGGAGACACACAACAGGACACAGTATTATACACACTAAATGTATAGAAGTCAGTCGGATGGGTATAATAACTCACTGAGCAGACTCACGGCAGAGTTCCTGTGACCTCCAGCGCACATACGCTCCTCTGCGGTTACACTCTTCTGCATAGGCTGCTACAGCCGTACACAAACACTCACAGTCGCCGCCTGAGTCACACCTGCAAAACACAGCAAACACAAGTCTTTTAAAAGCCCTACAGTATGAACAATAGAGATCCTGATGCATATGATACATTGAATATCAAGTTTCAGTGAGTGGGTTTCTTACCCGCAGGCGTCAAAGACACACCAGTCGTAGTACTGCTGAGACGACACTTCTGAGTGACACGAGCTGAAGATCTCCTGACTGATCACCGCACACTTCTTTTTGGCCCACGTCACCCGGTGAGGGTTGATCTGAAGGTCGAGAACGGTCATTTAACATTTACAATAACTAGTGTGATACTATAAATGCATTTATTCTTTATTTTCTTATTCTTTTAGCTTTACTTTGATTTTAAAGATTATATTATTGCATGACATGATATGTTTGCTGTGAAGCACTCTGTAAACATTTTAACCAGTGTTATATAAATTAAAATTAAAGGCACAATATGTAAGATTTTTTTATTTAAATATCCAAAAACCACTAGAACAGTGTTATATATTTTGCTGACTTGTGTACTTACATTATCTTAAATGTTTCGAAGAATGTTTAAATCCAGATAAATAAGCAATTTTACCTAGTGTAACGGAGTGTGTGCATAGTGTCATTGTGTCGCCTGCTAATGACGTCATAACCCCTCGATATCCGGTTTTGATTTGTAGAAAACATGGAAACACCAAAGACGCTTTAATATGTTGTGTGTTTTAATAGACCGGTGAAGACCGCACAGAGTAGCATTATAATTTTCAAATGTCTCTTTGTTTATTTTGAATACGCGCCCTCTAGCGGCGAAAATAACATATTGTGCCTTTAAGTCTCACTCTAAAGGGCCAATCGGGAATTACATAATTTCTGAAGAGACCGTTTTTGCCTAAACTTCAAGGAAAGGTGAATCTTAGTAATCTTATTTCTCACCTAACATTTGCCAAGTTAATGTTTAATGTGATTTTATTTTTACTTTTAGATTTTTTAATGCCAAAATAGTATATTAAAAATGGTAATTTTAGTAAAATATGATTACATTTTCTTATATTTTAGGCAAAATCGTGTTAAAATAGTCATTTTAGTAATATTTTTATGTTTTTAGACAACATAGTATATAAAAATAAAAAGTAATTTAAGTAAAACATTTTAGTTTTTTTATGAGCATTTTAAAAATGATAATTTTAGAAAAATAGTATTTTGTATTTTTAGTTTTAAACAAAATAGTATAATAAAATAGTGAATTTAGTAAAATAGTATTTTTTATTTATTAAAAAATAGCATATTGAAAAAGTAATTTTATTATCAGTTTATGTTTATCATTACTCTCTTATTAACCATAGAATGAAAATAATAATCCACATTTCCAGAATTTTGATGTAGAATCCATGCATTCTTAAAATAAATAATACAGCATCAGCACATGCAATTAATTAATAGAATTTCACACATGCAATTCATTCATAGAGAGTTCATCCAAGAGATATGAGAGCATTTACTCAATTCAGACAACGAAAATGTAATTTATAAAGAATTAAATTCATTATTTTTGCAATTCTGTTTGGTGCAGTACTACTTACAACACAGGGGTCATGGAGATCCTGGTCTGAGACGTCAGGGCATGACGGGCTGATCTTCCAGGAGTTTCCAAACAGTTCTGGAGTGGATTCCATGATGCCTTGTCTTGTGGTGAAATCATTTTCTGCATCTCCATCAAAATTTCCGCACAATCCTCCGACTTGGCCACGCAAGTGAGGCATCAGCCGGACATAAACACGCATTCCTGTGTAACAGATACCGTGTTTAAAAAGAATCTAATAACTGATCATGGAATAAAATAATAAGAATGGACATACCTCCATCCCAGAGCAGAGTGACTCCGAGTCGAGACGAGAGGGACACAAATAACCCGACCTGCTCCAGAATCAAACCACTGCCCGAATACAACTTTGGAAGAGTCACTGGAACCCCGTTGACCATCACAGCTTTACCTGAGAGAAAAAAACGTGCAATCACACAATGTGAAAATATTACTCGCATAAATCTGAATGCAATCAGATCTGATGTAACTTAGAAATTGCTTTTTGTCACATCAATACAGTGCAAAATTAAATCAAATAAATAAATATAGATGGAATAAAATGTATTGTTAATTAATTAAATAACTAAATATTCTAAATAAAATGAAATGAAATACATATACTTAAAAAAAAAAAATCTAGATTAACACAATAAATTATAAATAAATAAAATAATCTAGATAAAATATCATTAAATATATATACTTTTCTCAATAAATAAATCTAGATATAATGAACTTTAAATAAATAAATAAATTTGGATATAATAAAATTCATTATAAATTAATTAATTAATCCAGATCAAATAAAATGTAATACATATACTTATATCGGTCAATAAATGCATCTAGTTTAATACAATTAATTAATTATGAATATATAAAATAACCTAGATAAAATTAAATTAAATACATAAATTTATAAATAAATCTAGATAGAATCAAATTAAATATGAATACAATTATTTTTAAAAACAAAATAAAGAGACGAATAAGTATTTTTTGTCAACATGCCAATGTTAATAAAAAACATTCTACACTAAAATAATGTGTATTCCTTTACTCATAAAATTTAAATAAATGAAAACTTTACTACATAAATAATAAATAACTTAAATGCATATGCTTAATATATATTAATATATTAATGTATTAGTTTTTTTATAATTAAAGCAATAGTGATCTGACAATATAACAGCTGCTATATTCATATTGATGAGTAACTCTCCTGTGTGTGTGTGTGTGTGTTTCACCTCTGAGCAGGTGTATGGCCGTGTTTCCCACAGTCAGCGTGACAGATTTGGTGCAGGTCACTCCTGTGCTGCCGCAGGGCACGTTCTCGGCGCTGACGCTGAACAAACCGCTGCTCTCCTGTGCCAGAACATACTCACAGTCGCCCAGGAAAGAGTAATATCGGCCGTCAAACGTGATGTAGTGAGGGTCACCGGTGGCCACGCAGGTGCCAGAACACAACGACTGACCGCAGTGCCAGCGCTGCTCACGACACACACTGTCAACGTGAACAACAGGTTTATATATGACAGTAACATGCATTTACAAAAGCACTGGGCTTCATTTCACGTCATAAGCAAAGCATCTTTTTGATGTTGTGTTGTTTTGGTTACCATTGGCTTCCAGTGTATGAACAAAAATAAATAGATACTCAGACAATTCTCAAATGATCTTCTTTTATGCTCCACAGAAGAGAGAAAATCATACAGGTTTGAAACAACAAGAGGGTAAGTGAATGATTACAGAATTTTAATTTTTTAGTGAGTTTTCCCTTTGATACCCTTTTAAAACCCTTTAATCTCACGGCATTATTTATGCAATTGTAATTGCATAGTAAATGCATTCATGCCTCCTCTGAGCTGTAATAAACAAGTCTGTATATCTAGTTACCAATTCATATGCAGATTATGAAAAAAATAATATAATCATGACTGTCATAGCCTAAAATTTATGTGTAATGAATTATATGTTGAATCAAATATTTCATCCTAAAGCTACTTTTTGTAACGTCTATTTGATGCTTTTCTCATTTAACACATTAATTACTTTACATGATTTTTTGGGGGGGTACTTTTTCAGCCAGATTTGAAGTGTAATGAATTAGCACACAATTTAATTACATATTAAAATATTTATTCATTTCAGCTGCTCAGACAAGTTGCTGTATTTATAGAACATGTTTCATGTTTTCTATATTTACATTTGCATGTTGAGTAAACATATCTATAGGCCGCATTTATTTAATCAAATATCCACACAAAAAAAGTAATAAGAAAGGGAGAGAGATAAATATATATATAAATAAACTCCTGTTCCTGCTCACCAAGTGTTGCAGTCTTTAGAAATGGTGTGATTGATGAAATAAAGTCTGCCGTTGTGGTGACACGGGCACTCGTCTGGCTTTATACACTGATCACCCTGAAAACACAAAGAATAATCAAAAGAGAAAACAACACGAGAGATTTATAGAGGTTATAATGACACAAATTTGTTTTAAAAAGAGCGCTAGTTTAGCCATTAATTATGTTTATGTCCTTAAAACCACATGTGTTGTGTGGTTTTATATCAATATCTGTTTGCATTAATGACATCTATATGCTACTCTGTTACTACAAGTCATAAAATGTTACCATAAGTCATAAAATGCAGACATACAGTACACATTTAATATTTACAGTCCTTCTCTTGTGGAAACGGACCAATAACAGAGATGACTCATCATGCGCTCAGTTTTGGTCCAATCAGATGCTTTCTAGAATGAGAAGGTCCCGCCCCCTAATGTTCCTCTTTAGCAGCAAATCATGGTCATCAGTAGAAAATGCATGAACACATGAAGGAAAACTGTGCATGTCAAGCAGCATGATGGTGTTTATGTAACTGAGAGGAGACGCACCAGCAGCACGGTTCCTTCAGGACAGACGCAGCCGTGGATGGGTTCAGCACACGCGTCCAGAGGAGAGTTCGGACTGGAGCAGGTCCTCAGACACGATCGAGGAGAGAAGATCAGAGAGCCCGGACACTGATTGACCTCAGGACACGAGAGATCCGTGCAGTTCCACAAGCCACGCACACAAACACTATAAACACACAGTTCACTGACATTACTTTACTTTAGCTGTGCTTGATCATTGAAAACCTGCTGGAGTGTTCTGGGCGATTGCTAGCAGTGTTATTACTGTTAACTAAAACTAAACTACATTTTTAACATTTTTTTTCCCTTTGAAAACCGCAAAAAAAGCCTGAAGAAATACATGCTTTCATTCTGTCAACTGTGACTCTGTTATAAAACACAGAGATCATAAATCTCTTTCTGAGCTCTATTCTTTCATTGTATGTACAGTTGTTTTGTTCGGAGGTCACATAGAGGTCACACTGCTTGGTCCTTTCAAGAAAGAAGGAGAGTCAAGAAAGGCAGATAACCGAGTGTTTGACAAGTCAACAGTAAAGTTAAATGCGCACTAGTGTCTGTGACTGCGCATCTTACATTTCGGAGGATCTCTTTACTGAGGTCACTTCTCTTCATTGTTTGTTTGAATTGTGTTTAAATCATCAGGTATTTTTGGTCATTTTTAGTGGCTGCATGAAGTGAATTCTCCTCAAGTTAACACAGGTGTCCTAGACCTAGAGGAACAACAGGTGCAGAGAATCAAATCAAATCAAATAAATAAATAAATAAATCTCGACGGAATAAAATTATTAATTTTATATTATAATATTAATTATTACTAATTATTTAAATAATCTAGATATTAAATAAAATGAGATGCATACATTTTTATCAATAGACAAATAAATCTAGATCAATACAATGACTTTATTATAAATAAATAAAATATTCTCAAAGAAAATAAATAAAATAATTCTAAAATACCATTAAATATTTATACTTTTATCAATTAATCAACAAATAAATGAAATACATACCTTTACACACAAATAAATATAAATAGAGTACAATTTATTATAAATAAATAAATAATCAATCTAGATAAAATTAAATACATATACTTTATCAATGAATAAAAAATCTATCTGTATGCAGTTACTTATAAATGAATAAAATAATCTAAATAAAATAAAATAAAATTAAATACACATATTTTATAAATAATTCCAGTTAGAATTAAATCAATCAATCAATCAGTCATTCAGATAGAAATTAATTAATTAATTGATTAAATCTAGATAAGTTAAACTTTTATTGTGACAACAAAGAATTGCTGATGAACACTCTCAAAAACAACTGTTCAGCTGCTGAACCCTGGATCTGTTGTTTTTATCTGAGAGCATGTTTTACTCATAAACTGTACACACACACATGTGGAGGTGTAAGGAAACGCATTATAAAAGTGTCCGCTTGTGCAATCTCAATCTGCGTTTCAGTATGGGTCTGACCCAAACTCCACATTACCACACCGAGCATGAGGAGCGGATGAGAAACATGCTCAGATATCAGCCTCCATAAAGCACAGCGGCGCGTGTCGGCTGATCTCGAGGCACAAGAGACGCGATGAAATCAACCTATCCCGAGACACGAGCCCGTGGGTCATAGAGTGACTTCATCAGATACCTCACACCTCACAAACACTCGCTGACACGGGACGGCACGTGCAAAACCAGCCACATGGCCCATGACAGGAGAAGAGTGCAAACCTCAACCTCACGCTCAAGCTGAACTTCAGATCGTGTGTGTGTGTTGAACAGAGGTGTTCTCAGATGCACAATTCCTTACCTTACCTTAGCAACCACCCAGAACACCCTAGGAACCACTCAAAACACCTTAGCAACCACTCAGAACACCTTAGCAACCACCCAGAACACCTTAGCAATCACCCAGAACACCCTAGCAACCACTCAAAACACCTTAATAACCACCCAGAACACCCTAGCAACCACTCAGAACACCTTAGCAACCACCCAGAACACCTTCGCAATCACCCAGAACACCCTAGCAACCACTCAGAACACATTAGTAACCACCCAGAACACCCTAGCAACCACTCAGAACACCTTAGTAACCACCCAGAACACCCTAGCAACCACTCAGAACACCTTAGTAACCACCCAGAACACCCTAGTAACCACTCAGAACACCTTAGTAACCACCCAGAACACCCTAGCAACCACTCAGAAAACCCTAGCAACCACTCAGAACACCTTAGTAACTGTTGTGGGGTTGTAATACTGTTCATATCGTCTTCAGACAAAGAAAAAATCTAGTTGATAAAAGCAATTATTTCATACCTGACAATGCAACTGATGCAATATTCTATAAATAACACATATGCAATATATATATATATATATTCTGCTGGTCAGAGATTTATGAATTTGTTTCTCTTTGGCCCACATACATGCATTAGTTTGAGTACAAAGGTAATTTTTGCTGAATATTTGCTGTGTTATCAGAGAACAGATGATAAAAATCAGTCTCAAGAACCATAAAACAGACAAGAGGCTTTTAACAACAGGATCATAAAAAGCTTCAACGAGATGACAGATGGACCAATCTGTCTCTCTCACTATTGCTTCATTTCGCTTTATATCTCTCCATCTTATTTCTATTTCCAGGTCATATTTAACCCCAAAAGTATATTTATATTCAAATATATTTTAGTAAATAAAAATATTACACTTTTTATTAAATCTTTTAATAAATACTAAAATATTTCATTCAAAATTGCATAAATGAAGCTAATACAGCAAAATAAAACAAATGGTAGCAAACATATTTTTTTTGCATTAAAGGTGGGGTAAGCGATTTCTGGTAGCCAATGTTGACATTTGAAATCACCAAAACAAACACGCCTCTACCCCAAAAGGGTCTCGCCCCTATTTTAATAGCGCCGCCCCACACATACGTACGCAATCCAGACAACAATTAGCTCTGTGAAACAAAGCCAAACCAATGTTACACCGTGTCTACACAGGACGCGAGTGGTGCGGCACGACAAAATACTATAGAACTCATTATAATCAGTGATGCTGTCTACACCATAGATATATATACATATTTATGGCCTACACTGGTTGCGGCGCGGCACGACAAATCCCCGACAGAAAACTGCTGCTGCATTCTATTTATGACGTATTGACACAAATTTCAAATGATTTTCAACGGTTGCTTTGTCGCGTCCAGTGTACTAGACAGACTTTAGCTGTTGCGGCGCAGACACGGTGTTACTCACCTATCGAGAAGAAACAAAGCAACCTCGGCATCCAATCGCAGGCCTCCGCTCCTTGAGCTCTCTCCAGCGCTGGAAAGCTGATCCGATATTTACACGGGTCCTACTTCTTGTCTTATTGCCTAGTGTTTTTGAAAAATTGCTTACCCCACCTTTAAAATTTAATGGAGAAAATGCTTTTTATTAATGAAAATATATGTCAAAATGTACAAAAAAAAATCTAAACAGTCCTAAAAATATCTTTATGCAAAATACTTTTTCTTTTCTTTTCTTTTTTTTTTCAATTTAGATTTTGGGTTGAAATGTGGTCCAATGATATTCAAGCTGGAATTCAAAGCAAAGCATGGAAATTGTATGGGAAATATAATTAATTCTAATTTATAACTTATCTAATATTTAATAATTAATCATTTTAAAAATGGAACAGCATCTATATTTATCACAATAAGCTGAATTTGCCCACAATATTACCATGAACTTATTACAGATTCAGTCCCTTTGAAGCAACTTGTGTGAAAGTACAGTATCTTCCTCAAGGTTCATGACTTTTTTTATTGCAGGGATCTGAACTAGCAACGCTCTGGTTACCTGCCTTGAGTCTAAACCACCGCCCTGGCTGGCACTAAGCCACACGCCACCCCTCATGAGTGTGAATCAGATGCTGTGATTTCCTACCAGCGGTTGCAGTTCTTCTGTACGGTGCTCCCGGCGGGATGGAGCGCGTCTGCATGTCTGCAGGGACACACGTCCACCGGCACACACTGACCCTGATCGTCCTGAGCCAGTCCATCCGGACACTGACACCCCGGCACACAGACCCTGCTGCCCTCCTGCTCCTCACAGCTCCAGCCGTCCCACAGATCAGCACAGGATGTCCCACACAGGCGCCCGCACTCCTGATACACCTGCCCTCCAGAGCACAGCACCGCTGCGGGGAGACACAACACTTCATACACTGGGAAAATTATCTATTAACTATTTTCATCAATATTTTTGATATGGATATTCTCTCGACTGGCATTACAATGCAATCTGGGAATGTATCAGAGCACCTCTCAAATGTTTTACACCACTTTGACTTTTTACGATACTATTTAATACTACATAATAGTAAATATTCATATTATTTTAAATAAGATATATATTATGTATTAACTTATTTAAGAATGTATTAAATACATACATATATATATATATATATATATAATTAATATTATATTAAACAATATTAAATATTACAATTAGCATATATAACATAACATGCAAAACACGTAATATAAGCATCTATTAAACCATTTGTTACAGCAGGATGTGCAAATTTTCCACTTTAACACTATCATTCATACAACACTATTACTTAAAATAATAATAATAATAATAATAATATCTTATAACACTAATATCATATAACAGTATAATTAAAAAATATTACTATATATTAAATTATAAATAATATAAATAATATTAATATTAAATATTATTACAAATATCACATATAATATTAACATGAAACACACATAAAATTAACATTAAACGGTTTCTTACAGCAAAATGTGTGATTTCACAACTTTGATCTTTAACACTATTATATATAATATTAAATATTATATATTAAATTATATAATAATTTTATATATTATTATATAATTCATATATTTAATTATTATCAATTAATAATAAACATTATAAATAACTACATTATATAAAAAATAACAAATATTACAAATATCATATATTTATTGTTAAAAATTATTTAATATATGACTGCATAAAAATAATATATTTTATGTATTGATAGGGTTAGGGTTAGGGTTTTAATTATATTAAATCATATAGAAATATTAATATAAATATAAAAAATAACATATAATATTAACGTAACACATGTAATATTAACATTTTAGGATTACACCATTTCTTATAGCAGAATGTGCGATTTCACTACTTTGAATCATAATGATTATACATTAAATTATATATAATAATGCATTAAGTGATTAATAAATATGAATGTAACCAAGCAGTTTCTTACAGCAGAATGTGTGGTTTCTCCAGCTGAGCGGCGCCCCCTCTTGGGCACAGTGCCGGGCGAAGGCGGTGAGGACGGTGCACTGGCAGGAGTTCTGCGGGCCGCAGCTACACACTTCACTGAGACACAGACGCATGTACGGCTCTCTGTCCACCACATCATGACACGCCTGCAACAGACACTTCAGCTTCACTGCAACGACCGACCGATTGACCAGTGACCAACACTACTGACCTGAAACACACTGACCTGAAACACCGCGCTGTGAATCACAGAGCACACGCTCTCTGCGTACCGTCTGCGCTGTGTGTGTGTCCCGCAGGGGTCAGAGGTCATCGCTGAGGGCAGAGGGCATGATCCTGTTCTGAACTTGGCAGCAAAAGAGGCCACGCTGGTCTCCACGTCACCTTCAGGTGTGGTGAAATCATCACGCTGACTCCAGGTCAGAGTGCCACATAAACCACGAACCTGACAGCACAACAAACAGCACCATAACTGCAGCTTTAGCTACCAAAGAGCTACCAAAAATCAAGTAATTCATGATTCTGAAGAGTTCAGTGTGTTATGTGGTACCTTATGAGCGAATCCCGGCTGTAGGGTGATGAGGAGCAGAGGCCCGTCCAGATGCCACATCATCTGAGCTCCAAATGCCTGGATCAGCAGAACACTGGAAGAAGCCTTTCTGACCATCAGATCTCCTGTGATCACCGGCAGAAGCTCCCGCTGACCGTTCACCATCACCGAACCTGAGACCAACACAACAACACGATGAGAATGTGCATCTACAATCCATTAAACGAATGCCTTTATTCAGCAAAGACACAATAAATTGATCAAAAGTTACAATAAAGATATTTATAATGTATACAAAACACAATGAACTTTCTATTCATCTGTGAATCCTGAAAATAAAATGTATCACAGTTTCCACAAAAATATCAGGCAGCACAACTGTTTTCAACATTGATAATAATCAGAAATGTTTCTTGAGCAGCAAATCAGCATATTAGAATGATTTCTGAATATCATGTGACACTGAAGACTGGAGTAATGATGCTGAAAATTCAGCTTTGATCACAGAAATAAATTATATTTTAAAATATATTCAAATAGAAAATAGCTATTTCAAATTCTAATAATATTTCACAATTTTACTGATTTTACTGTATTTTTGATCAAATAAATGCAGCCTTGGTAAGCAGAAGAGACTTCTTTAAAAACATTTAAAAAATAATTTACACTTTATAAACAATAAAAGTAACTAAACATGTAATATAAACTACTATAATAAATAAATAATACATAAATGAATTTCAATAAATAAATAAACAAATGCATAAAACTACTTTATGTTGTCATAAACAAACAAACAAAATGTACAAATAATAAATACCAAAATATATAAAAGCAAATTAAAAATAAATTAAATGTAATTTTGCAATGCAATTGCAATTGCAAATGCAATTTTATTTAAGGTGAGATTAATCAATATATAGGCTATTGAAAGTTCTTTAGAGAGTTTTAAGGCACTTCTTTCACTTCAAATCATTTTTAAATGCCACAAAACTTTAAGAAATCTACAAAATCGTATCTTAAAGTGGAAGAACCATCTTTAGAAATCTCATTAACTAACTATCTATAGATGGACGGACGGATAGATGACCTGTATCTGTGACAGTGACTGTCGTATGAAGCGCAGTGACCGTCATTTCTCTCAGACATCCAGCAGTTCCTCCTGCACACGGTCCTCCGCTGATGCTGACAGAGAGCTTTTTATCCACAAAATCCTGCAAACACAGCAGAGAGATGCTTTCAGATGATCTCAGACACACAGTGAAGCTGTAGATCCGTCTCCTCGCGGTCACTGACCTCTACAGCTGTGAAGCGGCAGTCGCCGGCCTGCAGGCCGTATCTCTTCTGATCGAAGGTCGTGATGTGCATCGCTCCGATCACAGCGCACTGAGCTTCACACTTCTCTCCAGAACATTCCCACTGACCGGCGCGACACACACTGGGAGACGGAAAAATAGTAACAGGGACCTTCAACCGAAGCACACAGGCTACAGTGGTTTCTGTCTGCATGCGTGAGGCTTGACTCACCAGGTGTTGCAGCGCTGTCGGATGGCGTCTCCTGCGCTGTAGCTGTGGCGTCTGTGGAAGCAGGGACAGTCGTCCCGTCGCAGACACTGGCCCGCATGCAGGTAGAGAACCAGGGGACACTCGCACCCCCCCACACACTCGTCCCGACACTGACCCGACGCCGGAGGACGAGGAGACGAGCAGGTGGGGGGACAGGACGACACACAGTCAGAGAACACCTGACCGCTCGGACAAACACGCTCTGCGGATGGAAATAAATGTAGGTATTTAAAACTTAATGAATATATAAAAATATTTGAAAAAAATATATAGCCTTAAAATATATTACAAATATATTTTTATTTATTCAAAAAATATTTTAATAAATGCATTTTTTTTTTGTTTCAGGGCATTCCTTTTTTTATCCACTTTAAGGATTGAAAGCTAATCTAATCGTGCTATTTTTACAGTATATACCACTGTTATTCATTTAGCATAATTTATAAACTATTACAACTTTTATTAATATTTTTAATTAGTATTTATTTTTAAATTGCAATTTTTTTTGTCAATATTACTATTTAAGTTTAATTTACTATTTACTGTTTATTTTATCTTTATTTCATTTTTAGCTTGAGTTATTTTAGACATCAAGTTAAACTAAATTAAAGGATAAAGTGAGTAATGTTGCCTGGGCAACTAGATGAAATAAAATATTTTTGTATTTAATTTTATTTCATTTAAAGTTTATTTTATTTAAAGCAATGAAAATTATTTAGTTAACTATTATAACCCTGAATTTTGGTGCTTCAACTTATTTTAGTCAGTTAGTAACCATAGAATACCGTATCCCATAATGCAATGCATTCAACTCCTATTTGTTGTGTAAAAATGACATTTTTATACAACACTGAAACAAAAATGCATAGTAATCATATTAATATTTCAGACAAAAATACGACAGAAATATTATGCAACAGGTCATGTGACAACATGCAACAGTGTGAAATATTTGTCATTGCATAACTTACACTGTTTCACATATAATATTGAATAATAATAGCATGCAGACTACAGTATAACATGCAGTAGTATGCAAGCATTCTGAAAAAAATTAAATTATAATGTTAACCATGAGATTTTTCAATGCTAATAACCACTATGAATCGCATCCGAAAATACCCTATATTAGTGTTAATTAAATCTTGTTCTGACTTTTAACTAACATAACATTTCCTATCATCTTATGAAGTTGAAATATGATCCAATGTTTTTGACAGATTGTGTGAAAATATATTTTAAAAATAACAAAAAAATATGATTGAATATTACAAAATGAACCAACAGAAGTCAGTTTAAGCTGAAGTATGAAGTACCACAGAAGCCAGCGCTCCTCCAGCGGATGATGACGTGTTGTTGCGCACACTCGCGCACGTAGCTGGCTAACGTGTCGCACACTGCCGTATCTCTGTCCTTCACATCCACACTGCAGTACAGATACAGACACGTGTCGATATACGGACCGGGATCCACCTGAGCAGACCGAGAGGATGTTACTCCTGAACTCTGTTAGTTTAATGATCTAGTTTATATTTAGTTTAGTCTAACCTGGTGATGGCAGTGTGAGAATGGACTCTCTTTGAGACGGTGACAGGCTGTTTCTGCGTCCCGCCGGAGAGAGACGTCACTGGACAGATCACAGCTGTGACCCAGCTCTGCTGCATCACTACACACCTGTGTGTTAGACATCACAACAATAAGACTACACTACCCACAATGCTTTGGGCCAGAGGTTTTTAATTCAATACAGTTTATGTTTATATAGCATATTTCACAATACATAGTACCTTATGATGTTTACTCATATTTATTTCATGCTATAACTTGTAATAAAGTGCAACTTCTTAAAAAAAAAAAGCTCTTTGCGATTACTGGATGAGGTGCATTACAAATAATGTTAGGTGAAGGTAAAATAAAAAATCTGGCAACCCGGCTAGAACTAAGGGTGATTTATAGGGTCAAATAGAACCTGCATTAAAGATGCTGCATTACTGTGTTATTATTGCTTAAACTTGGACAGCTTTTATCAGCTGATATCTATTTTATTATTTGAATCTATTTATTTATTTTAATGTAATATTTATTTATTCATTTAGCTTTATGTATGAGTGTGTGTTGAACACAGCAACAATGCTATTGTGACTTTAACTCAACTCTATTTGGACAGTTACTGTATGCTTCCATCCAAAACTGGGTATATGGATATTTATAAAATATATGATTATGTAAACATGAGCAATGCTATTTAGAAACCGTTTTTTAATTTAATTTTTTTTTTATTGCTATTTAGAAATAATTTTTTTAATTCCAATTGTATAACCCCCCCCCCAGGTTTCCCACCTGGCCTTGCTGATCTTGAACACGCCATGAGTTTCCAAAGCTGGCAGCATACTGAGACACACTTCCACTGCTGGTAGTGAAGTCATCTGTATGAAATATAAACATTGCATTGCATATTGCATGTAAAACACTGCAAGTATACAGTGCATTAGAAATGCATGAAAAGAGTGTAATGTCAGATTTTGCAATGAAGTCAAACCAGGCCAAACGTTCTCACCATCTGGGCTGTTGTTATAATCGCCGCAAAGCCCCCTGGTGGCAGTGAGGTGTTCAGCGGTAACCGTCAGATAGACGGTGTTCTCCATGTCAAACTTCAGTCTGACACCCAAACCACTCTCCACAAACACAAAGTCACCCAGCCAGTGAACGCTGACTCCTGACGGCACAAGAAACACACTTTCATCACACAGAATACATACACATATGCTTAGTAAATAACATCAAATGTAATAACTTCCCAAAATGACCTCTTTGAGAATAGAAATACTCCATTCTGCCTTGTGCCATTGTTCAAAAAGAAACTCAGGGTTATTATCGTTAACTAAATCAAAAACTAGAACTAAAGCTATTAGCAGCATTTTTGTTAATTAAAATAAAACATAATGGCCTGGTTTCACATGCAGACAGGGCTTAGGTTAAGCCAGGATTAGGCCATAGTTCAATTGACAGTTACTGTATGCTTCCATCCAAAACTGGGTATATGGATATTTATAAAATATATGATTATGTAAACATGAGCAATGCTATTTAGAAACCGTTTTTTAATTTAATTTTTTTTTTATTGCTATTTAGAAATAATTTTTTTAATTCCAATTGTATAACCCCCCCCCCAGGTTTCCCACCTGGCCTTGCTGATCTTGAACACGCCATGAGTTTCCAAAGCTGGCAGCATACTGAGACACACTTCCACTGCTGGTAGTGAAGTCATCTGTATGAAATATAAACATTGCATTGCATATTGCATGTAAAACACTGCAAGTATACAGTGCATTAGAAATGCATGAAAAGAGTGTAATGTCAGATTTTGCAATGAAGTCAAACCAGGCCAAACGTTCTCACCATCTGGGCTGTTGTTATAATCGCCGCAAAGCCCCCTGGTGGCAGTGAGGTGTTCAGCGGTAACCGTCAGATAGACGGTGTTCTCCATGTCAAACTTCAGTCTGACACCCAAACCACTCTCCACAAACACAAAGTCACCCAGCCAGTGAACGCTGACTCCTGACGGCACAAGAAACACACTTTCATCACACAGAATACATACACATATGCTTAGTAAATAACATCAAATGTAATAACTTCCCAAAATGACCTCTTTGAGAATAGAAATACTCCATTCTGCCTTGTGCCATTGTTCAAAAAGAAACTCAGGGTTATTATCGTTAACTACATCAAAAACTAGAACTAAAGATATTAGCAGCATTTTTGTTAATTAAAATAAAACATAATGGCCTGGTTTCACATGCAGACAGGGCTTAGGTTAAGCCAGGGTTAGGCCATAGTTCAATTAGGACATTTAAGTATTTTTATAAATGTGCTTTAGAAAATAAAAACACTGAAAGAAAAGAACATTTTAGATGAAAAACTAAAAAACTAAATAAAAATGTTGCCTTTGCAGCTAAACCAAAAAACGTACAAGCACTAAAATTACGAACTAGAAATAAAACTAAATCTGAAATAAAAATAAATGAAACCTAATTAATACTATTACAAATAATATTAATTAATAATATTACAAATAATAAAAATGACAAAAGCACATAAAAAAACTAAAATTAAAATAAATAAATAAACCTGAAATCATTAAAACAGAAGCTTATTCAAAATATTTCTAAAACTATAACAGGATATAAATCTAACATAAACTGCATCAAACTTATGCCATTGGATAAAGATGAGTTTTGAAACTGCGATACATAACATGATATACTGTAGTAGTAGTTATGAAAGTAGCTCTGTGTTTTTCATACCGTTTTGGAAGAGAGGTTCACCCTGCGGTAGTGTTAAACCATTAACAGTCATATTGGTTTTATGTATGGACACCAAGCCAAGACCCAACATCAACCGCAGTCCCTAAAACACAAAACAACCACACAAACATCAGCCAGAACCACCGGCTGTCTGCAATTACTGCACAAAACACAAAAAACAACCGTACTCAACATAACGAATGATGATCATATCCCAAACTCCCAAAACCTATTATATGCTTTGTGTGTGACTGATGTTCAACACAAGCTGCCAAGTTTCTGGCTTTTTGGTTTCATTGTTTTCTGTAGAAGCAGATGTCAATTTTTGATAAATGATTGTTTTGTTTGCTGGAAAATATTCTGAGAAGAATATCTGCTCATAATGAACTGGAACAAACTGAAGCCAGATGCAAAAATGAGTGTGATGAGAATATGAGCTAATTTTATAAAAATGTATTTAATTGATTGATTCTTTTTTCATCAAACAAATGCACAAAACAAGTTTCCTAAAGATAGTCATATAGGCTAAAACTTTAAACTGAACCTATGCAACAATTTCAACATAACAGAGGTCTCAGTGTCAACATGAAATAGCATTTGCAACCAATTTTATCTCTGAATGTGATGTATTTTACAGAAAACCTGGATATACAGCAAGAATGTGGGACTTGATTTAATACATGAAATACATGTAAAAAACAATTTTTTGGAAAAGGTTCATTTTCGATGAAAGATGTGTTTAGAATACACATTCATCCATAACTTCATATATAAGGAATAATTTTGAATTTTAAAGGAGAAGTCTTTGCAAAAATGTTACTTTTTGATTAAAGATTATGATGACAAAACTTGTTTTTAGAATAGAATGGTCTTTAGGATAAGCAAATTATGCAAAATAAGACCAGAAACAAGTATTAGTAAAATAAATATGGTCAATTTTGACGTTATGTTGACTTTAATAGACTGTATATGTATACATGTATGTCTGAATATACTGCAAGTGTGTTAAATGCAGGTTGCAACCAATTTAGCCTCTGAATGTGAAGCATTTCAGACAAAAATGGGTTTTTAACAAGGAATAAAATGCAGTATGAAACTTGATTTTATCTATCAGGAATTCATTTGATAAAGGAAAAGTCTTTGGGAAAAATGTACTTTTTTAATGAAAGATTAATGAAGATGAGAGGAACATGCTTTTAAAATGCAATAGTCTTTAGAATAAATACATTGTGCCCAATAAGATTAGAAACAAGTTTTAAGAATTTAAATAAGGTCCATTTTTTATTTAATTTGCGTGAAATGGCATTTGCAACCAATTTTGCATCAGAATGTGACATATTTCAGACCAGATATTCAACAAGAAATAAAATGAAGGATTCGGACGAAATTTGATTTAATCCAATAGGAATTAATTTGATGGATGCTTTTGATGAAAGATTATTAAGACAAAATAGAATTTTTAGAATAGAACAGTATTTGGACTAAACAAATTATGCACCAGAAACTAGTATTAGGAAAGAAAATATGATCCATTTAGAGTTCATGATGACTTTTATAGACATATAAAACAGGTGTGAATGAATATGAACTCATAGCGAGTGTGTGTTTGTACCTTCCGGCAGTGTCCCGCAGGATCACACTCTGTGCTCATATACACGGCCCACGTCCCGTCAGTGGATGAGGCCAGCAGGTACGTGCAGCTGCCCTGGAAGTGGAAATGTTTCCGGTCAAAGGTGCGGTAGTGTGTCCCGCCCCAGCTCATACAGGTGCCAGACGCCTGCAGATCACGAACACCGCGAAACAGCCCTCCACGAACCACAGGAGAAGAGCTGATGTCTGAGGAGAGACAGCGTTTGAGTCAGTAAAGAACCAGGATATATAGTTTGAGGAAAATATGTAGCTGTAAATTTAAGACTTTTGTATTTGAATTGCATGTAAATTTTTTGTTAATTTGGATAACACAGTTTTAACAACAACAACAAAAAAAAAACCTTAATGTGATGCTTACTGTCAGTCGTACATGAATGAAACAGATCAGATGTCTGTAACAGTACTAACAAACTGAATGTGTTTTAAATATGCATGTTTATATATTTCATTATCAATAAATTCAATTTGTTTCAATTTCATACATTTTAACTAATTGAATTAGTTAAAGAGTTCCACAGCTATATTTTGAACATGCTCATACTTTTTAACTTTATTTTTTTCCTGCAAAACAGAATTATGCATTTTTGACTATAGAATTATTGTAATAAAAGCAAATAGATGTAAATTTTTACTAAATATGTTAATATTGCTTGTTCGTCATCTAGCTATTTTTTTTTACTAAGTTCATGCTTTTTAACTGAATAAATAATTGAAAATGTTATTATATCATTTTTGCATCTATTTGATATTATTGAAATAATCGATAAGTCATGGCAACATGTTTTTCCATTTTAACTTATCAAAATAATTATTTATCAAAATGAATAATCATTCCAACTTGGTTTTTTAAGTTGTACAAGACTACAGTGTAATTTGATCATTTTTAATTTCAGGCAGCAATTTCAGAGCTTAAGTTTTTAAAGTTGAACTAGGTGTAATTTTTAAAGTTTAGTTAGTAATAAACAATGCCATGTTGAAATCTGACCTCTTTCATTTATATGACAAATATGCATCACAGTAAGTTTATTATTTTGTCTAAAACTGTGTAATACAAATGGATGGATATTTTAAGTGCATTTCAAATGCATTATTATGAGTGATGTGATGAACACTAATAACCTGGCAGGAGCGTGTAGGTGCAGGACAGACAGGTCTGATCGGATGCGTTTCTCCAGCTTAAGCCCCACAGGTTACTGCAGCACTGCTCCAGAGCCATCAGAGACGTGTTATGAAGCCCGGGAAACTCCTCACACGTCCAGGTGGAGAAACACTGACCCCGGGCACCAACCCCTGGACAGAGAGAGACAGAAAAGATATGACCAGAAATACACGAATGCATGAATAAGACGTCCTCTGCATAATGTAGAAAGAGAAATAAGAGCATATTCTACAACAAATTCAACATCTGATATCATACGTAGACTGAAAATCCATCTGATCTCACCCTGTGAGCAGCCAGGTCCGGCCCAGCC